CCACACTTAAGGACACAGGTTCCAAACAACGTTAGTTAGGAATAACTAACCTTAAAGTGAATGTCTACAAAGCTATACGTTTAAATTTCATACTTGTTCTAAATTAACTTAATTGTTGCTCTGCCTAAATTTACATAGATCTATTCATTAAATTCTGATTTAATTCAGCAAGTCACTCAATAGTATTTTAACTATAAAAGTTAAATATTGAGGTACTAGGTAAGATTTAGAAAAAATTACACTACTTATCACTGAGCTGATAATTCAGTAAATGTACAAATAATTGTACCTGAAGAGTGTAAAGAATTCCTGCATTCTGTGAGCTCAAAACTACAAACAGTCAAGAAGATTGGCAGATACACATAGAGAACAGGGAGACAACTATAAAACACAAGCAAACTGCTAAGTAAAAAGAGCTATCTATCTCCAAGAGCCGGCACCATACTGATGGGTAACACTCCCCCAAGCACAGAGCAACCTATGCTGTTGCCAATGCCCTCACTCTGCTTCCTGGCCTCACTACCTTCCAGTTTCCTGTCTGTCAGCTGAGTCTTCTAGGCTAGATCCTTAAGATTGCTCATGGCTGTGACATTTACAACCCTGACTTCCTAGACAGCCTCTGGATAAGTGATGAGGATTAGCCAGTGCTGTGAAGCTTAATCATCAAGCTCACCTTGTCTATTTTTTCCTATACCAATAGAAATGCAAGAAGCAACGTGAAAGTTACTCTCCAAGCTGTCAGCTCTCCTACCCTGAGCCTTTCTCAGTCTTTCTCAGTTATTTGAGAATTTCATACAATGTGTATTGGTTGTGTTCAACCCTTTACCCTGCTGCCCCCAAATCTATCTCCTCTTTCCAACCCACTCAACTACGCTTTTTTTTTTTTTAATCCATCAATTCCAATTTATGCTGCCCAAATACTCTTGGATGTGTGACCCTCACTGGAGGATGGACAGCCCACCACCGGCCACACTCTTAAAACTGACCCTTCCTCTCCCCAAAGGTATTAATTGCCAATACCTCCTTGGCTAGAGGTGTGACTTCATGCCCACCTGCCCTCTCCACGCTGGAATTTTGTCAAGACAAGAGGGCAGCATCCTTTCACTGTCCTTTTGGATGGAGGTAGTTATAGAAAAGGACATCTGCTAAAATTCATTGGGACCCTGGTCCCAGCTCCAGCATGCATTAACTTTCAAGGTAAAATGGATGAGATGATGTCTCAACAGATTGCAAAGATGTTTTTTGCTTTAAATATAATCGAGGATAGTGAAGGAATCCCTGCCCTCCCTTCCTTGTCCCCTCCCCCATGGAGCCCACACACACAAAATACAGCACAGTCTAACCCTGGTTCCATTAGCTTTGGGAGTGAACCTAGATGGAGTCCCAACATCTATGATTGTCAAAGTTCTCATCTGTATAGTGGCAATATTGAAAGTGCATGGCTGTTTTGAGGACCAAGTGAGATTACATAATAAACACTAATTCTGTTGCATTGCTACAAGACAGATACAAATCTTAGTTAAGAAAATGAGTCTGAGCAATGGTGGTGTAGGCCTTTAATCCCAGCACTCATGAGGCAGAGGGAGGTTGATCTCTGTGAGTTCACAGCCAGCCAGGTCTCCAGCTCCAGTTCCAGGACAGAGAGGGCTATTCAGAGAAACACTGTCTCAAAAACCAACCAAACCAGAGAGAGAGAGAGAGAGAGAGAGAGAGAGAGAGAGAGAGAGGGAGGGAGGGAGGGAGAATGATAGTAAGATTGAGTCCTGTAATTTTTCTTACTGAAAACATCACAAACAATATTAATCAACTGATAGCCATGGGGTGATATTTGCCAGAGATTTGATTGGACTTGTATTTTAATGTTTTGTTGTTGTTGTTTACTTGTTTGCTAGTCTATCTTTTGTTGTTGTTGTTGTTGAGACATGGTCTCACTACATAGCTCTGGATGGCTTTGAACTTGAAGTTGTAATTCTGCCCCTGTCTCCCCAGTGTTGTGATCACAGGAGTATGCCATATCACCTGCATTTATTTATCTATTTATTTATTTATTTATTTTGTGAGCTGAAAGCCAAAATTGTATTTATTATGTACAAAAATGATAGCTTGAAGAATAAACAGATAATTAACATATAACACTTCACATAGCTTTGTTTTTATGGTGGAAATGATACTGTTAGAATTTCCCAAATATAGTATTGATGCTTGCTGTGGCTTTATGACCTCAACATGAAGTTTATTGTAAGGAAACAGAAAAAAACTGGGGAGAAAGTTGCCTCTCATCTTACTGGCCTGTATCAATCTATTTCTCTTTAGTAAATGTGCTGTTTCAATGTGTACACAGCAACACATTAGAGTACTTTTAAATTCCAATGGCCAGTTAACAATGAGGAAATAGCTAAATAGCTCAATCAAAATGTCTACATGCTTAGTGCCAGTTATGAAATTACTTACTGTATTCTCAAGATATATTCTCAAGTAATTGTCTTGGGATATCTTTTTACATGTTTGTAATACTCTATCTTACAATGTTTATAGTTGTACTCTCTTATCTGAGAAATTATTTGATATTCATCAATTTAATTGATATTTATATCTATAATATGACACAATAGGTGAGGTGATAATAAACTATTGTAATTATTAGGCAATTTGTCCCAGTCTTTAGAAGCTCCATACACTATTGAAGCAAATGCATAAAATGTTGAAGACATAATTTATTATAAATGTGTTTAATAAGTATAAGCCATTCTGTAATGAGAATCTTCTAACTTGATAATGCAC